ATGTCCAGGATATGTGCCCCCCACATCCTTGCCCCGCTTTTTTCGACGAAGATGACGACCTGCAACAGGTTCGTGGCGTGAATAACGTGCCACGCCGTTGCCGCCGTGGGTTGACCAAAGGACAAAGCACTGTGCGCTCGCTAGAGCTTGCACGTCTCTGCACTGTTTTGGTGCAAAGCCACACAAGCGGCTGAACGCCGAGTACTGAGAAAGCACCACGTCCTAAAACGGTGCCGGTGGCCAAAGGAAGAGGGAAGCCGAGGTGGCTGGCACTACTGATCGGCAGTGCCCAGGATGTTGGGTCATCATGCAATGTTCAGGGGGGCTTCTGTCAGCAAACCATCAACACCTCTTTCTTTGCGTGGACTGGGCAGGCAGGCAGCTGGCAGCTGCTACCTCGCTCTCTTGCGCGATACTTCTCAAGAAAAGCACACCGACAATGTAAGCGCTTGAAAATAGAACCGCCTGTATGTTGTGACTCCGCCTGCAACAGACATTGTCGCGGGGGCAGGCCCTGCACCTTTTTCAGCAGCGTCCGCAGTCGCCGGCACAAGCCCCAGGGACTCGTCGTCCGCGCCCCTTGGCAGCCCCTGCGCCAAAACTCCCACAAAGGACTCGACGTACAGCAGTAGCTGGCACACCTCGCCCACGGTCTCAACGCTCCGGAAGCGCTTCCTCCAATCCTGCACAGAACACAGCCAACTCAGGAGCGCATGGTGACCGCACATGGCGACACGGGATTGCCCCTGATTCGCGGTGCATGTCACGCCTGTCCTGTACACAACAGGTCAACTCAAATGGTCTGACGGTACAGTATCCAACCTGCGCCGCTTTCACCAAGGCGCTGACTGATGTCGGCTGCAGAAAACAGTACCGCTCCAGGCAGCCACGGCACCGAATTGCACACTCAACGCCCGCAGCACTCTGCAGACGGAAGTTTTTGCAGAAGGTGTACGACAATTTGAAAAAGAACGTGTGGTGCAATCCCGAAATTGGGAAAAACGGCCCCCAGCCCAACCAACGTCAGCAGATGAATGCAAGAAATGCCACGACATCTACAATTATAAAAATAATTAATTAATTAATTCCAAATAAAATCTACGTTACACAAATTCAAGCGCGCCCAACACCAACCCTGCATTACCGAAAGGAACCGCGTGAAACGAACAACTTCCGCAGTGCAAGCACCCCAAAGCCAAAACGACACCCATGCCTCAGAAAGAGCGGCTGTCTTGGCCGCCTTCAAGGCAGCTGCGATGGGCAAGTCACACAGAATTCGTCACAGACTTTGCCGGGTTGGCTGGTCTGAGGAAAGTCTCCAGTGTGCATCTGTCAGCCGCGCCAAAGCCGGGTGCCCCGGGCTCACCTTCAGGCCGCCGTCCACGCGCACGCCTTGGTTGGAGAGCCCTGACACCAGGGCGTCCACGTGGGACAGCGCCGAGCGCAGCACGCCCCGCGCGGTGTCCGCCTCGAGCGCCTCCACTGGCCTCGGAGCCCTGCCGCCCTTAAATCGCCGTTGCGGGTGGCGAGGAACGGCGCAGGCGTCCAGCACCGACTCCTGGGGGGACAGGGAGGCGCAGATATCGCCGTACCATGTCTGGAGGGACGTCAAAAGCGCCGCTTCCCTGAGAGGCGCGCGGTAGATGGACGGTCAGCAAGTGCGCACTGTTGCCATTGTTGCCATTTTTTTTGCACGTACCCGTGCTTCAATTTCGCAATAAGAGGGCACTGCTTTCCTCAATTAAACAATGTCGCAATGAGAATTACACGCTTCCCTATGCCACTCGTTCATCCCCACGGCCAATCAGGGCACTAACGAATGCTCGGAAGTGAACGACCGATGCACAGTTGGGCCACTTGCCACATGTGCTTCACTTGCCATGTACTTCTCATCGTTTATGTCCAATACCCTTCTTTTACGGACACGAAGGTCATGAAGGTCATGAAAGCCGTGTAGAACATTTCGGGCTTTGGGGACTTTGGGAGCCTCGTACCCCTTTATGACCCGTTCACTAGCTTCACATCCGAAACGACAGGCATTGGACGAGCCTGGGCATTGTTCGTGGCGTCGCGTGCGCCACTGGCGTGAGACATGGCCCGTGCTGCTGTGTCGTGATTGATGTCCTTGGTCGTTGACCATTGTTGTCGACAATGGCGTTGATATTAGCTGACGACACCATAGTTTGTCCGACAATAGTGCTGGAATTAATTCATGGTCTGTTTGCTTGAAAAATTCACTGTATTGTTGCCGAAAACAACACAGCTCGGTGCTTGCGACCTGCAGGCGACGACGGGCACATAAGTGCTGCCATGCGTTGTCACTCGTCTATTTTCCATGACTCTCTGGCAGCATCGGGTGTTCGCACTGTAGGTCCCGTGGTTCGTTTGCAAGAAAAAAGGAACAACCATTTGCGTAAGTACTGCCTCCCAAACAAACGGCTTCGTTTTAACTCCAGACAGAGGAACTACAGCGCGCTCTCAGCTTAATTTATTTTAATTTAGTCCCACCTGATGCCGCGCTTGTTAAGCCGCCCCATGACGTCATCCAAGTCCTCGACGGTGTTGATGGCGCCAAGTGACTTGCCATCGGGGCTCTCCACGTACACCGCACTGCGGTCACCTGCAGCCATTCACGTCGATAGCATTATCAATTTCATTCCATGTACGTCAGCTTTAAGCAAGCATAGTTACCCCTGGCGCGGCAACGCCCTGGACTCACATCACCGAGCATAACGCAATTGCCTAAAAAAGCTGTTGAAATAGGGCCTCCGGAAGTTAAAGTGCACCTGAATAGCTGCGCCAGAACCAAAACTGACTCCAGTCGTCCCAAACTGAAGGACACAACCTGGTGGAACCCCTCTGTCGATGGGTAGCTGCCGTGCGGCCCTTGTTTCTAGATGCATCGAGTTGTGCTGGTGCAACCCATTTCTGGTTCAGGCAATTCGCGCGTTACCTTGTGCCACATTTTGGCGCAACCAATCGCTACGCATCACTCACAAATTTGCGCAGCGTTGGACTTGGAATAGAAATCAGGAATCAGGAACTGAACATATGATAAATTGAAATAGAACTGCATTAAGACATGCGAGAGAAATAGTACCCCGTTCATGCCACCACGTCCCCTGTAGCCCGCATCCAGCCTGTAATTCCTTCCATTCATTAATTCAGGTAAATACTTCAGAAGTTGATTTTTCTATGTTCAAGTTTCTTTATTCCTCAGTTTCCCATTTGCCAACGTCCTCACAGCACAGCGCATTACTTCCATATTCCTTGTCCATTCGCTCCTCATCCTTGGCCGCCAATGTGTCATGTGTTCCCTGTCCATCTTTGTTTTCATTTTCCATTACTTTTCTATTCTAGCACTTTTTATTATCATTCATTATTTATTATTATTATTATTTATTACTATTTACTATTATTTATTATTTATTGTTATTTCCATGTGTTGATTAATCGACCCATGCTCCGAATACCACCCTTCTTCAACACGCTGCATAATATTCTACACACCGTGTGACGTACAGACTGTCAATTGCGATATTCCACTCCCTCAAGTGAAAAAAGGTACATCTGAGTGGGCTAATGCATGAGCCCTTTAATCACTATGCACAAAGAGTGCCTTTCAACTGTGCTACCTTTGAGCCACCAGTATCGCCTGTGCTCCCTGTCCAGCCCCAGCGGCTCTGTGCGTATGGCCCTCTTGCCCAACTCCAGCCGGTGCTCGAATTCGCGCCGTCTGGCATTGTCGTCCTTACCATCCACCACCGCGTCCTGCTCCGGGGGTCCAGCCGTGGTGGGGACGTCAGCCTGCAACGCACACCCACCTCAGGCAGCACAGAAGAAGCTGCAAGGAACTAAACTCCAGAAAGAAGGGAAAAGCAATGAATGTGAGCTTGTGCTTCGCAACACACCAATCAAGAGCAACATGAGATGGGCAACGGTCGGATGCAGTAGAAATGCCATCCCCCTAAAGCGGAAGGGGCAGTTCAATTCATCCTGTGGTATTGGCAGACTGCGATTGGCCAAAGATGCAGCGAAATCAGGGCATTGCCCCCTGCATTAAGTTCAGAAACTCACTTCTCGGTACTGTGAACAAGCTCGTGCTTCTGGCGCACCCAGCCCAGCACTCTGCAAATGCCTCCATTGGAAAATTGGAAATTTTCCCATGACATATTTACACCCAAGCAGAGGCTGTTGGGGCAGCTCAGTGAGGTATTGGAACCGCAAACGGTGTGGCACAATACACACCACTGCGGTGCTGTACTGTGTTGACATTTACTACCGTACAAATAAACTGTGCTGCTTGGTATTACAATTCACCCATTGGTACATCCACACATCTCTCTTGGGTCCAAGCCACAATAGTATGTATGGCCCAGTCTTAGTCCCCACCCAGAACCTGTTGTTGGGGCTCATTAGTTTGTATTGAAGAGAGGAAGCTGGCTGCATAACTCTGGCTGTGCAGCGCCATTCGTTGTTTGCAGCTGTGACCTTCAAACGTGCAACAGGTACTGCAAAAATGCTGGCCCTGCAGGGCAAACACATGCATGTATGATAGCATCGTGGCCTGCGATTTTTGCCTGCTCTGAACGATGGGACATGAGAATGCTCAGGTGTTGAGCAGCTGCAGGTCAGTCGGCAGTGCTCAAGAGACATGTTGGAACATCGGTGCTGTGGTGATGTGGTCGCATAGTACTGTACGAACACTGCCTCACAGGCACAACGGCAGCTGAGCCACATCATTTTTGTGTACACTCAACTGTAGCACATACCCACACATAGACCCAACACTCAACATACCCACACATAGACCCAACACTCAATGTAGAGTTGAGCACAAAGACACAACTGAACATTGGACACGTCATCATATAGGCCATTGCCATCCACAGAATTTCTCATCGCGATGCCCACCTCCGCATCTGGGGTGCCTCCTGCCTTGTCCTGCGTGCTGCCTTCCGCCTCGCCACCCCCCCCAGGGTCAAGTCCATCGCCAGCATCTAGCCCTGTGCTGCTGGGTGGGCCACGGGCGGTTGGGGTCTCCCACCCTCAGCGCCATCTCCCTGTGCTTCTGATGCTGTGGCCTCCTGTCCAACTTCCTCCTTGACGTCCTCTTTGACCTCTTCTTTGACGTCCTCTTTGACCTCCTCTTTGACATCCTGGGCTCCTTGGACCTCCTTGACTGCCTCCTGGGGCTGCTCCTTCTTGGCATCGTTGTTGGCCTCCCCTTGATGCTGCTCAGCAGCTTCCCTCTTCTTTCTGCCTTCCTTCATCTGCATCTTCCTCTGCCGCTCCAACCTCCGTTTCTGCGGGACACATATGTGTCACAGCAGATCGCCATGACGCACTGGACATGCCGGGTGTGTGTGATTGTCCACATCAGGTATAAACAGGATAGTGTCAACCATTGAAACATTGGTTGAATATGCAAACATGTCGCGGCAATGTTTTCATGTGCACGCACACTGTTATATCTACATGCACACATGTAAGTACACTGCAAAATCAACTTAACAAGCACCTCAAATATTTGCAGTCATGGTGGAAACTCCACTTGAGCAAGGGCCACCAATGCACTCTCCATTAACAGATGGGTGTCAATTTCGTGGTGTCCATAGCTTCACTTGGTAAGACAGCAATAATGAAAACGTGCATCCCACCTCTGCATCAGCGTGGTACTTCTCTGCGCACAGCTGGATGGTCTCCTCCAGCCGCCCCATGACTTCGTCCTTCATTGCGCTGCAATTGATGATGTCATTGCAAAGGGCGTGCAGGAGCCGCAGGTGGTAGCGGGGGCCCAGCAGGTAAAAGGGTGAGGAGCCCAGGTCCTCTGCCGCCCTCTGGGCGATCTGGTGGTCGTCCATGAACTCAACCGCAGTGTCGCGCACTGGAAGGTGACAGAAGTGGTCAGAGGCAGGGTCCAAGAGGCACAGAAGAAAGATGAGGAATGTGGAAAGTTGACGGGATCGCGCACAAGTAGAAAAGCATTGTTTCAGGATGCTGATAAGATGGGGTCCTCCCATGACGATTTTTAGCGGTATGAAAAATCGAACAGATGTTCGTACATGAGTATGTCGGGCACAGCGTGGGTTTTGCAACCACCGTCTTTGGGGAAACAGAGAAGGGCTTGCTAAACTAACTAATGGAAGGGTTGTTGTCAAGATGTGGGCGCTTGGGCACCAATTCACCAGCAGTTGCAGCTGTTATTATTGTCCTCTAGTCATTCCAACACATTTGCATGGCATCAACCATAAGCTTGCAGCTGCCGAAGATGATGCTTATCACATCACAAAATGTTGCAACACTGCATGGTGTCCAGCCTCCATTCCTTCCACACATTCCAATAGGCATGTGATTCAACCCAACAAGGGTTCATCTACATACTTGGGAGAAGCCAAACCCAGGCCCCTGGGCCAGAACCCACTGGGTGCAAACCCATTGGGCCCAAAACCCAAAAAGAATCGGCAAAGACGAAAGCAGGAGCACAGGCCAGCGATTCTGCAGCTACCCTAGCCGCTGAAGGCCTGCATACATGGCTCGTGCATGGACACCGATATCAGCCCCTTCAGTAAGTTGCAAGTCCCTGTGGTCAATGTGCCCAATGCATGTATGAAATCTAGAGACACGTACACATGTACTTATTACTCACCATCCACCTTGGCCACGCCTTGTGCCTCCCGTGAGGCCAGCAGGTACCTTCTCAGCACTTCCGGCCAGGTGGCATGGTCCACCACTCGAGCCCACCGCCGAGCACGGCTTCGGGCCATCCCTGTCTGGCCCACCTGTATGGCCAGGACTGAGAGTCAGTACCATGGGCCAGGAATATGGCTGTGGACCATTACAGAATGCCCCACCACTCAAACCAAGAAATTGTTGCCCATCGCCTCAAAGTCAAAGATTCCCATCAAACATGTCCTCAACACATCATGTGGCAAAACTGCACACTGGCCAGTTCTTGCAATCATCACTAAAGCGGCCTTACGGCACAAGCAACAGTACAGCCACACAGCCACATAGCCACACAGTGCCAACTTTGCAACAGCTCCCCCCATTGACCAAGCCACGAACTACCAACCAACAGGCACCAAGGATGCTCAGAACCTTCTCAAACGGCCAACCAGCCACCCACCTGATCCAGCAGCACACAGCGCAGGAGTGCCATGTACAGCTCTGCGAGGGAGTCCCCATCCAATGGCCACGCCACTGTGTGGTTGAGCTCCGGCAGCCCCAGCGCCTTCACCTCGCACTCCTCTCGAAAGGTTGACAGGAACTCGACCACTGCCAGGCCGTCCATGAGGCCCGCCAGCTGGGCCTCGCCCTCCATGATGGGGGCCTGGTCCCTGGGGCCCTCCACAAGTGCCTGCTGCTGCTGCAGGGAGCGTGGGGCATCAGCATGGGCGGTGGTGGGCGTGCCAGGAGAGGCAAGGTCGGGGGCAGCGGCTGCCGCGACTTCAAGGCTGGCCAGCTTTGCCTTCTCCTCTTCCAGGACCTGTGGTGGCCAACACGCATGTTTGAGAATGGGTTTGTACCAACGTATCTCTGAATAAAGGGAGGAGCATGGTAATCTCTAACAACACATCTGCGGCCAAACAGTTGTCAAAAATATCCCAACAGAAGCAGATGGGTACAAGGGAGAAATCCAAATTGCTTTTTTTATCACAAACTAAATGCACTGTGAAATAAAGAACATGCAATCGCACAAGTGACATTCTGGGAGCATTCCGGGGCATGAAGCTGCTGCAGTTATCACCTGCACAGCACAAGGGCAGCATTTGGATTGCTTCTGGACGAAGGCAGTCAAAGGGATCACTGTATGCGCCCACCTCCATGTCCTCTATTGGGTATCTGGCCTTCTGTCTTGCTTCCTCTTTGGCCCTCTCCCTTTCTTCCCGCTCCCTCACCCGCTGCCGCTCCCGTTCCTCACGCTCCTCAAGTCGCCGCCGCTCGCGTTCCTCCCTCTCTGCTATCTTCTTCAGCTGTCGCTCCTCTCGGCTACATTTGACCAAACACCGACCCATATGTCAGACAACATAGCAGTGGACAAGAGCAGCACTGCACAGTGCTGCACAGTGCGTCTACGCCAATGCAGCACAAGCATACAGCACTGATACGTTGCATATTTACGGTACACTACTGTATCATGTGCTGCTGTGCTGTTCAGAATGTACTGTGTTTATATGGTATAATGGATTCCCATGCTATTCAACACGTGACAAACAATGAGGTAGTGTCAAGATGCTACAAAGCACATGCATGCAGGCATGAGGTAGTGTGCATTCCACACAGCATAACCATTGCTGCCCTTCCCCCACCAGCCTAAAACACCATGGCAAAAAATAGGCTGCGTGTTTATCAACTGTAATGCTCATGACATTCCATACACACCAGTACCTAAGGTTACCTGCCTAGTACCAGTGAAGATTTTCCACCAATATGACAACAGCCAACCAAGCAAACAACAAACAACCTCAGTAGATGGCCTCAACGACCAATTGATCAATACAAATTCGAGCATTGTCCACAAACACAACTGCACCAGCTTGGTCGCAACAGCCTGCCCACCTCTCTTCCATGTTCTTCATCTTCCTTACTGTGGACTCCCGCTTGTCAATGCACTTAGGGCACGCCCAGTCCCCGTAGGGGGGAAGCTGCCCTCTTAGGCAACCCACATGGTATGCGCGCGGGCAGAAGTCACACAGGACAAGCACGGGCAGCTCCTGATTCAATCCCTGCACCACCCAGAGGAACATATGTCTTTGGGCACGTTGGCGATCCAGGGGTCAATAGTGTGGCCCACTGCGTAGTTTTGGTGATCTTTTAGGTCACTTTTGGTGACCTGCAGGTAATTTTCTGGTATGCCCAGCTATTGTGCTGGAGATTTGCACGTTGGGCTATTTGCTACAAGACATGGATCAATTCACTTCAGCATCAGCAAAAGTCGACTGCTTTTGAATACGGATGTCGTAGCTCAGCTCTTGGATCAGCTCCTGTGGCAACTACTGGCAAAGGTCGCCAGCAGGGGAACACAACTGTGCGAAGACTGGCAGTCAATCAGCAACTCTCTGGAAACTCTGAGCCATTTACCATAAACACTGTACCAAAAAAGAAGCAAAACACAACTGGGATAAATTGGTTCTTTAGGGGAAGACACTATTCTGAATTTTTTGTATGCTTAGCATCAAATTGACGTAAAGGAGGGGGGGGGGGGGGACCAGCCAATTACACCAAGAGATTATGTGATTGCACTAAATCAAATAAGGTGGGAAGAGGCACAAAACCCTGCTGCTCAGCGACAAATAGCTCATGAATTGTTGCAAAACCTTAAACTTTCAATAATCGAGGAAGTCCTTAGAATGGATCAATTTTAGGCTTTTTGGCCGCTTCCATCGCCTCTCCTGACTTTTGGCAACCCAATTTTCATTTCACCACAATCGCAGCAATTTTTGCTGCTTTTCCTTCAAAACTGTATTCAAGTCGTGTGGCACTGTTAGGTAATGTTGGTGAGCCAGCTTGGAATCGAAATAAGGATTGATGCTAAGGAGGGAGGGGGTCTGAGCTTGACGTCTCGTTAATGCTAAGCATACAAAGCTCAAAATAGCGGCTTCCCTAAGTTGGTCAACTATTCCAGTTGAAACAAACACAAAGCCACGAAAAAATAGAAGCGGGCGCTCTCATGCAGGAAAAGCCTGAGGCAAATAATAGGGGCACTGATAAGCAACGAATTCAGCGAATTCTATTCAGCAAAATGTGTCAGTCATCCTTTGTTCGAGCACAATGCCATCAGCAGGGGCTTCCTAAGCCACGAGTTCTTTCATACTCAGGGTCCAGCAGTCCTTTTGCCGTCCAACGCAAAACAGAGATTATCAACCACAGTAGTACTTTACCTACAGCGTTGCAAAGCAGTACAAGTGCACTACAGGTCAGTACAGTACATGTAAGCACAGCAAGAATGTCTGCCGTTACAATGCACATGCACCCGCATTCCAAAATGCAGCAGAACTACCAAGGTGCCACAGCACTGCAGCGGCCAGCACGCACCTTGTGGCACTTGCTGCATTTTGAGCTATTCCTGTCAAAGCGCTGCCGCTCTATCTTGAGGTGGACCACAGGCTCCTCGCCCCCCAGGGTGCACTGGCCCATCTTTGCAGCGCCGCCGCCCGGACGGCTGCTGCCACCTGGCAATCCACAAACAAACGGAGCTGGAATGATGTTTCTTGGATTCCAAATCAAGTGATACAAATGACGCCCAACATAACTTATGTGGCTCATGAGTGCGGACAGCGGGGCATCATAGTGCATGGTGCATCCAGCCCCTCGACTCTGACAACCCAAGCTGAATGATTATCCAAACGAGAAGGGAATCACAACCTTGACCGGATGGCCCAACCTTGGCCGACTGGGTGTAGCTACACTCAGAAAGCCAGAAAATATGTGTTACAAATAGATTAAAACATATTTCCTGGGTGCTAAACAATTTACAAATGTGCAACCTTTGCTGATGGTGTTGCAGCTTGGATGACACACAGCTGCATTCGTTCTGCTGAAAACGGTACTATATTTCTCACGCCACAGCAGCTCGAGAGCCAGGCTAAGGACGCACAAAGTACTGGGCCACCTTATTGGACCACAGATTCTACCAAAGACAAGTTCACGCATTGGATTCCGATTTGGACATGGTTGGCAGGGCAGACAGGTTACATGGCACAATTTGCAATGTTATGAAACCATGCCTTGCGGGGATACCACAAAATACACATCTTCCAGACCAGCAAGTTGCACAGCCCCAGACCAGTGTCCATCAAACTGCAGGCCTCCCTTCACACTGTCCTTCAGCCGCCCTTCTCCACGGCAACCCAGTCACTAGAAAACATCGCCACAGAGGTGGGCAAATGCAGAAATTGGAAGAATAGTTTCAACGTAAACCTCCTATATTCAGTAGTTTGAGAGTTTGAGCAGCAATTCTGCTGCCTGCCAATTGATGCACACTGCATGTCTGATGTGCTATGCTGTCAGTATATGTTGCCCTGATAGTCAGATTTCACCCCAACAAATGAACCCTCAATTCCCGCTGAGGCTCCCTTTGTCAAAGTAGGTCATACGAATCAGTGCAAGCCTAACAGGATCTCTTCACGAATGCTGCCTATAACTCACTGACTCCAAGACTTTCTTTGACTTACGCATCCATCGCTCCCTGATCCATGACAAGTTGCCACAATGTGCGCGCTTTCATAATTGGGTGCCCGCGCGCAAGGCACCCTGTTAACAGATCAATCACCTGGAATACACAGAACATGCACTCCCCCTTGTTGTATGCAAATGTCTAAATATAAATGAGTAAGTGAACTTATAGACACAAGGCCAATATAAGATTCTGCACTTTGTATTCAGTACCTTGGGCTTCCACCCACTTGCTCAAAAGGGTGGAAATCGTTCGCGTCATTAGGGAAACAGCAGTGTTAGTAATCCAAGTTGATTAAAATTACGCGAATCAAATCAATCAAATTCCATTATCCATGTCAGCGATTCGTGCACTTCGTGGCTTTGAGTAGTTCGCTTTCCGCAGTTCCTATCAGCAATGTCTGGCAGTTCTTTCAATCGATGAATCCAATGACAGGACTCGCTGTCGCACCATGCCATCATGGAATTCCCCTTCCAGGAGGCCTACCTGTGCCACCCTCCTGTGTGGTGGCCTTCGTGAATGCCCTGATGGCAAAGTGGCCATGGGCTACGCGCACAAAGGCCAGGTCGTGTGCCAACGTGGATGCCACACAGCTCTTGGCGGATTTGCTGTCTGTCACCTCACGATTCATGTTCCTGTCCCTCAGGCGCTGCAGGAGGTATGTTGTGGAGGCACCGTATGGCCCCACACCCTTCAAAATCTGCACCACAAATCCATAGTCAGTGTCAATTGAATTAACATCAACAGCATCATGAAGTCCACTACGAAATTACCAAATCAGCCCACAGACTACGTGTTGGCTGTATCGCAGGACACGTGACAGTGGGTCATTGACACCGGAAGGTGCCAGGCGATGGGTACGCAGCCGGCTTCGTTGTGTCAACTCACCATAGGTCTCCCTTAAGTACAGTAACTTCTTGCTGAAATCAAAGACTTCTTTCTGAAGACTGTCAGTCTGGAATAGTCAATGTACCCTGAAACCAAAGTGCTAAAGTAGACAGCGGCTTCAGGAACGAGCTTACAGTGTTGATGCAAAGTTGTCACTGTACACGGCGTCTGCTATTGCCAGAAATTGCAGGCTGTGTTGCCTCCAGCCACGTCAAACTGAGACAACAGTGAATAAGAATACACAACAATGGCTGCCATGTGCAGTACAATAGCCCGGTGTGCATGTTTTGCTATGCCCACACTATACCTCAAAAACGGCCCTCTTTAGGGAACCTGCAGACAGCCTACGGTCGGTGTCCTCAAGTGCCTCGGCTTGGACAGGCGTCCCTGGAATCGGAGAAGAGCTGGGGGAGGGTTCAGCGGAGGGTGCTGCCTGTGGGCGTTCAGCAACCTGCGGCAGCCACAACCCATCCGCCATTAGCACTGCCCTTTCACATACTGCAATCAGGCAGAGTTGGATGACTGCTGTAGGGAAGCAATCTGGGGAAGGGGGCCGCCGGTACAAGCAATACATGCTGCGGTTTACAGCCGCGACTGAATGGCGGCAGCAACCAGGCAGCGGCCATCACTGCAGGGAACATTTCACAGAGTGGATGGCGGTCAGTGCCCAGCACTGCCTTTTGCAGCTTGATGCATAGTTCTTTGTTTATACCATCTGCAAAGATACTGCAGCAGCACAGAAGCACAGAGTAACGAAAGTACAGCAGTTCAATACCAAAACAGTACACTATGATGGGCAAACTCTTCATTTGTATTCATCAGGTGATGCATGTGCAAAAGTTTGGCTTCACAAAATTGCAGTTCCCTGTCACCAACAGAGATGCCCAGGCATCGCTGGCATGCAGTTTGGCCTCCTATCATCCATACTCTGTCTGAGGAAGCAATCTGACAATAGCAATTTATCTCATTTGGAACATTACTGAACTTGGAGATTTGAATGAGCAGTTTGGGACAACTGTGAATGGCATACAAACTGCCCTCCATCATGTCACATGTGCCTAATCGTTATCCGTCCGTGTGACCACAACGCGCAAGAAATGATGACTGTCCCACCACAACCAACCACAACCAGCAGCCAGACACACCTTTTCAGCATCTGGACACTGCATTAGCAGTTCTCACAACATGCAGCTGATTTCTCACCCCATGGGCACCACCTTCAATGCCAAATCACTTGGCACTTGTTCTTGTCTGCATGTGTGTCATTCAAGTAGAGCATGCACAATTCTGTAGTATATTCAACCATTTGCATTTTTGAATTTCATCGTTACGACTTTACTCCACAGTTTATCAACAAACTGTTATTTTGGGGAGTTCCACATCATGGTCACAGCCGGAATGGCAACTTTGCTCAGTGCACATGGCCTCAAACGCAGTTTTCCACCACCACGACACATGCATCCAGGGCCGCTAGACGCCACAAGCACTCCAGAGACACTCATGTCGCAGCTGATGCTGCTCCACATTTCTTGGCAACGTTACATTTTATTATTGCTCCACATAAAAAGGCCAAACGTTGTGTGACGATGTGGAAGGGTAATATGCTACAGTAGTCTGATTGGTGTGGAATCTAAATTCTCAACTGCACAATGAACTTGGAAAACATGCCATCCAGCCATCACCAAAGACTGCTGTTGGTGGTGTTCAACAGTGGCAGAGGAACGCAGGATGCCCAAGCGGGCAGCCCAAGGATTGAGTGGATGGTCTTTCCAGTCCATCCTACCGGGCTGGTCACAATCCACCGTGACTTTTCCCAGAGGTGTGTAGACCACCAGTTCTCTTTTGGTGTGGGGGCTGGAGGAATCAATGCTGAGGCAACAGTGCTGCTGTACCACGACAGTATCAAGACAGCACCTTTGCAATGGATTTTGAAGTGGCATTCATGCACTCACTTCCATTCTGGTCCCATTTTCGCATTCCCTTCCCCTCTCCTACCTGTCCTAAGCTGCCAGCCATCCAAGCCCCAGCCAAACCACAGCCGCACCTTTTTTGGTTCTGAAGGTGTCGTCTTGCGCTTCTTCTTGGGCCTCTCAACGGATTTGGGGGTTTGCAGCCCGTTGGAGGCTCCCTCCCTGGCCCTTCCAGAAGCACCTGCCTCTGCTGGTGGGTGGACAGATCCAGAGTGCCCCAGAGGCGCCCTAGTGCAGGTAGCGCCATTCTCGGTGGGCTTGCAGGGACCAGGTCGGGCCGCAGGGGCCCTTTGCTTTTTGTTGTCACCCTCCAACTTCGTTTTCTTGGCTTTCTTTTTGGTGGCCAAGGTGCGCTGTGCGGCCTTCTGCAGCTTCATCTCCTGCCAGGGTTTAGGCAAGAGAGCATGACGCCGTAAAAAACAAGGCCAGATCACAGCAGCGACAAAGGAAATTGCAATGCACCGGAGGAAACAAATGTGGGTTCATGGATGTCAGTCCTTTTCTTGGCATTTTCTGCGAATTTTCGATGGCACATGCACGGGCGCCTACAAATTCAGCTATGGCAAGGGGACAGATCTTGACGCAGTTCAATAGTTGCAAGGGCATACAAATAAAAATGCAAACAGCAACATAAACATCCCAATATTAGAGATAGTCAAACATGTACAAATATACCATTCAACTCAATATTCCAATGACCATGCTTACTGGTGATAGAGACAGAGCAGTGGTTCAGGCAGTGAATGCACTGAGCTGTGCTGAACCTGCTATATGTCATGGCTGTGCTACACAAAACACAACCCAAAAGCATGAGCTGCATTTGTGCTTCCTATGTGTGCAGTGTGCAATATTGAAATACAGGGTAGCATGTGCTGTGATTGCTGTGCCAGGCTTGACCTGCACACAGCCAAAGTTGCGTACGAACATGGAATGCACTTGTGACTGGAATGTGTAAACACACGTTGGACGCGCAAGGCGCGCTACAGCATTGCGACGCCCTGACGGAACCATGCTGCAACAAGAACAACTCACAGCAACAATTGCTATCTTCGGAACCAGGAGTACGGCAAAAGCAACGACAGCTCACCAGGTCCTGCGGCAAGGCCTCCGGAAGGTTGCATTTCTCCGCAAGCTCCCGCTTGGCCCTCCACAGGAAAGGCGCACCCTTCACGCCCGTGGACTCACAGTGCACAACACGCTCCAGCCATGTCTTCAACATGGGCCGGCTGATTGGGTGCTTGTCCTTCACGCGGCTCAGCTGGCCGCGGGACACGATGGACACGTCGCTGCCCCCCTCCCCATCCAGCCACTCCACCTCGTATTTCTGATCCAGGCCAGCGACGGGGTTCAGCAGGTCAGCAGCCACATCTGCACACCGGCAGGGGGGCAACAAGTGTGAGTCAGCACTTTTGCAGTCCATGATGCTACGTCAAATTCCGTTCAACTCCAAATGCCATTCACAGCATAACATCAAACTCGAGAGTCAGCAGTTCATGAATAGATTCGCTGCAGGTTTTGTGCGTCGATAGTCCAATAGCTGCCACAGCTGGGACAAGTTTCGCTATGCCTTGATGCCTTGCAACCATAATGACAATGAAGCCAATTTTGTGACACAGATGCTCATCCCAGCTGCTGCAGTTGCCAACGTTCCCTGATCTCTCTGCCAAGAACAGAATCCTCCAAGAATAGTGGACATGGGCACTACCTCTCCACATAGCACTTTTGCACTAATGCTCAATCCTTCATTTGTCCTCAGCCATGCCACTGCTCACCACCATCCCTTATTGCGCAAGGGCAGTGTTTGGTCACAAATCTGCAACCCGGCGTCACGAATTCCACAATATTCAGATTATGTATCAGTCAAGTAAATCAGGACTAAAGTCCAGTTCCCATCCCTCCACCAATCCTGCGCTTCGATTGCTCTGTTCCTCAGATTCTCCTCCCTCCAAAAGCTGCTCCACTGGCTTTCTAATTGATTGAGATTCGCCCAGCACTGTTTCACGTGATTCCCTGTGCTGTTCCAGTGGCACAACTGTTCCACAAAAGTTCCACATCCAGCCCAGCTCAACACCCAAATGGACAGCGATTTGCAACATTTTCCTGACTGTGGTCAGAAAGGTACCTGTTGGGTTGCTGAACCCCTTCCCCATTCAAGGGCCGGATCTGCAGTCTGTGGAAATCTAGAGATCCACAAGCACACAGGACACGGACACAATGCTTTCGGGTGTTTTCTCTCTTCCTAATCCAGCATACTTCGTCACGTCAGGACTCCAGGAGCCGCCCCCTTCCCAGCACTGATTTTGTGTCACCTCACGTGAAATTGCAAGGCCCACGTAAATCCCAAACGAATGACAATGGTTGCACAGCGAAAAAAAGATATTGCTTGGCATTGACACGCCAAGTAGCAGCAACAGCAACAGCAACGCAGATCTAGACTCTTAACTGCGATGCAACATTCGGAACAGAAAAGAACCGCAAAGCATTTGGGATCGGCTTCGTTTTGCACCTTCTCAGGCGGTGTCACAAGGTCAATGCGTCTCTTGTGGTAGAACAGGGCAGCCCTCCACCCTTCAATCTGATCCACAGTTCTGCTTGCAAGAACGCTAACTAGAAACAACAAAAGCATCTGCCCGTCTGTGTTTTTTAAGAATCAAGGAAAGAAGTAGTGACACACCTTCCCCATCGTCAGCGCCAAGAGAGTTAAGTATCCTGCAGGGCTCCGGCTTCTCCCCCCTCATCCCTAGCACCTCTTCACCGGGGACGAAGTTGTTGCGGAAGTGGGTGAGCACTCGGTGGCACAGCTCATCGGGCCGCAGCGTGGAGTGGTGCACCAGCCGCAGCACGGGCCCCTCAAAGCACTCGGGGAACTACACGCAGGCCACACACACACTCACACACGCACAGTTATTGGTTGGCTCCCAAGGAACATTGGCCTGTGATGGGCTCTGACACCTGGACATGGACATTGCAAGTTGTTGTGTTTGTGCGGTGGTTACAGGATATCAGTTTTTGCTTCACTGTAACGAAACACAGCAGAAGGCACGCATGCTTGGATGTCAGCGGTTGCCTCTGCATGGCCAGTGGGATGGCAATTCAGTTGTTGATGCACATTGCATTCCATGGGGAAAGCAATGGCCACAGTCTGGGGTTGAGCTGAGGTTGTGGACCTGGAGAGAGATCAAAGAGCACAGGATGGAGTCGATACGCGTTCCCCAGTTGGTGCTCTAGGTAATCTGATTGACAACAAAACATGCAGTTGTGACCATATGCGCTTGGCTGTTCGTTGGCCAACGAGAGAGCCCCACACTGAGCTCACAGCATCCAAAGAACGTTGCTGAGAGCCGTGGTGCCACATTTTGGTAAGGAACATGTCCTGCGCTTCCCAGGGGCTGCCAACTGTGCAGCCCTCTGGATTAGAGAACAGCCTTTGGAAGGCAAAGAGGGGCACTTGGGCCTTTCCTACACGATACCAGTGTGGCAGAGCTGAAGCAACTCAACAACGATGGGAATAGGGCCTGGGAGCCCGCCGCAAGAACAGAACAATGATGCCTGGATTGGTTTCATGCAATAAAAGCATGGCAAATAACTGCTCCTTGTGTCTCAAGAGGGGAGAGATTGCAGAAACCAAGGAGAGGGTTTATGGAAGACTTGCAGCACCAAAAGCAAGAAAGGGCGATACAATGGGAAGCCCCCTTGGCAAAACATTTTCGTGAGACTTTTCCATGCAGTGAAGCATGGGATAGAAGTCGCCCACAACACAGAAAAGCCATGCAGAACTTGCAGCACCTTCTTCCACTGCTCAAGGTGGGAGGGGACGGGTGTGCTTCCAGCAACAGTTGCCGGCGCAGGGCAAGGCAGATTCACGGCCAGATGACAAATCCCTCCCTCCATTCCACCGACGGACTGGATATACATCCAGGGGACCGCCACTCGCGCATCCTTCTTCGAGGCACCAGACGCAGCACGCCACGTCCCGGACTATTACGGGCACCTTCCGGCTCATCGCCGCCCAGGTGCCGGGCCGAATGCCACCGATTGTTCGGAGCCCCCGGCCATCGGCCTCTTTGCCGACGGACGATCGGGTGAGATCGGCGGCCGACGGCGCAGTCCCTCGTCCCAAGGCTCGACCAATCAATCCCGCTAGCTGGGCACGCCGGGGGAGGATTGCGCGGCGATGATTGCAACGCGCTTGTTCCGCGGCGTGTTTCCCGCCAAAGCGCCGACCGCGCCCCGCCCCCGGCGCCCGATCCCGCCGACCGGCCCCGACGCCCCGTCGCGAGGCCCGCCGATCGGTGCGCGGCGCCGCCAGCTCTCAGGGGGGGCTCATGATTCGATCTCTCGGCGCCGCGACGCGAATCTTTCCTCTCCTGCCAGGAGCGGAACCGCTGGCCCAGCGCCGGCCCGCGCCGTCCACTCCCCGCAGTTTTTTCATGCGCCAATCCGCCCCGTCGACGCTCGGGCGAGGCCGATTTATCCAACAAAGTGCAACAGCGAAGGTGCGCCGCTCCGCGAAGGATGAGTTCCCAGTTGGAGTGCCTCACCTGCCCGTGGGCCCGCTTGGCCCGCTCCTCGCTCACCAGCGCCTCCTCGTAGGTCAGGCCCGACCGCCCCGTGTACTTGCAGCTCCAGCCGCGCCGCGCGTACAGCTGCTGCTTCCTCAAGTACGCCCTGCGCTCCGCCCGCCGCGCATCAGCGGAAGCCTGACCCTCCCCGCGAGGGCCCGGCGCGATCGAACGGGCAGGCACGACAGGCATTGACCGGCGAGGGGAAAGGGAAGCGGGGGATTTGCACAAGGGGGTGAATCGCGTCGGATGCCGACAGGGCGGGAGGCGACGGGTTGGCGCGTCGGCGACCGACCGCGGGGCTTGAATCGCGCCCACTTTCGGACGCCCGGGCGCGCGATGGCCGAAACGGGCAATCCAAACGCGGCTCAGTCTTTCTTCCGAGGGGAAAGGAAGGCGCTTGGGGGATCCAGGATCGGGCGCGCTCACCCATAGTCCGCGAAGACCTCCCCCGTGAAGCGCACCACCCACAGGCCGTCTTCCGGAGACACGCCCGGCGGCAGGCCCAGGTCGGGGTCGTACGGCCGCTTGCGCAGCAGCGGCATCGCGGCGCCGGCGCCTGCGAAAGTGGGGGAATGGTGGGGTGGGGTGGGGACGTCTGGGGCGGGTGGCGGGGCGGCGGGCGCGGGGGCGTGGGGGCGGGGCCGGCGCTGGCTGCCCCTTGCGGGCGTCGCCGCGGTGTGGGCGGCATCCCACTACAAGGGCGGGGTGGGGGTCGGGAATTAAGGGGAAATGGGCCTCATTAAGGGGAATGGGGCGAGGGGTGGGCCGACGGCGACAAAGGGTTGAGGGGTGGGGACCCCTGAACGGGGACCGCAGGCTCGAGTCCACGGCCATGGTCTACAGCCGAACGAAGGAACAACAGGGGTTCTGTCCCTTATATCCAGTCCGTTCATCAACGTCTTTGATGTATTTCCGAATGCCTCATCACTTCTCAAACGTCCAGTTGTCAATAATACCCAATCAGTTCTAGGTACAACAACAATACACCTCGTTGCCCTAACACACATGTTACGTAAGAGTGAGTGAAGGGGTTAACTTTTGTTTCTTTTCTTTGCGTGTCATTTCATCTTGTGCGGCTGTTCCGACCAGAGCACCATGGTGGCATGGCTGGGCTGTCTCTGTGGCGTGGTGGGCAACGGTGGTTTAAGTTGAGCCAGGGGTGTTGAACAGATTTTGGTGGGGCGTTGCTGATCCCGGGTGCGAGGTTGGCGTACATTAATATTGGGCATTGGACTGTGAACTAGGGATGGTACCCGGGTACAGGAAACCCGGGTACCCGGGTCGGGTATTGTTTTTTCCAGTACCCGCCTACCCGGGTACCCGCTAACCCTTGTACCCGGGTAGGCGGGTACGGGTACGTACCCGGGTACAGGCGGGTACCGGCGGGTACCCGGATTACCCGGGTACTGCCAGTACCCGGGTCCGGGTACGGACCCGGGTACAGCACTTTTGGCCAGCGGTCGCCCGGTGCATAGCTTCGCACCACGCTGGCTTCCGAAGGTCGCCCCCGTCCACACTGTGTGGCTGCGTCGCGATCGTGCACGGCGCCGATGCTCTCCACACACTCTTCTTTGGGCCGCGCGTTTGGTGATCTAGGGGCGCCGGCGAGCCAGAATCGGGGGATCTGACGGGTTGGAACATCGACATGGCGCTGCTTCGTCGATCCTGTGGCGCCGGCGATCCGGATTCGGGGTATCTGACGGGTTGGAACATCTCTACACACCTGCGGCAACTAGCTGTCTGCAGAAAATGCGGCTGGGCTCCGACGGGTTGGTCCCTAGGATACCGGCTGTGTTGCATCCCTGGCGCCCGAGCTACCCTAGTTGGGGATTGCAGGTCGTCCGTTTCAATGCGAAACGGTTGGTGCGCGCAGGACATGCCCAGCAACTTGGACTAGATGGATCGGTGATTGCTTTTGGGCGTTGTTGTCGTTGATGTCTTACAGCTGCATAGTTTCATTGTCGTTATTGTGGTGGTTGTTCTTGCTGGATCGCCAACGCGATCGTTGACCAAAAGGCGTCCAGCCCTTTCCGGATTGTGCCAGTAAAACGCACGGCTCGTGGAAGACAACGTCAGGGGAGGGGGCGCCGTCGTCGTCGCGGACTTCATTAGACAACAGCCGGCCAAGCGCGGCGGAGCGCGGCCAGCCAGCGCTGCGTCGGCGCAGGGAGCGCCTTTCCGTACCCGGGTACATACCCGGACCCGGGTACTGGTTGTACCCGGGTACCCAGTTTTTCGCGGGTACCCGGGTATTGGGTGTACCCGGGTTACCCGGGTACACCCGGGTACCCAAGTTCTCGAAACACCGGGTACCCGGGTCCGGTTTTGCCAGCCCGGGTACCATCCCTACTGTGAACCGAACGGCGACAGTGGGTTGAACAACGGTTGGAGCTGAGAGGACGACTGCTTCTTCTTTGGACGGTGGATTGTTGTCTTCTGCGGCAGCGTTGAACTGCGCGTTCTGGCACATTGCTGCTATTTTTTCGATACTGGCGATAATGGCTAGGTGGCAATCATCAAACACACAGCGCATGAGGTCCCTTGGCCGCAGCCCCTGTGAACGTTGTGAACATGTTGCGCCTTTTTTTTTCCTGACACATGCTATTCGACTTTCCGAATGTTGCAGCCTTTGGGGGGATGCAGGAATTTTGAAGCATATGGATGTGTTTCCAACAAGCATTTGCAGGGTAGCAAGGTCACCGTTACATGGGACATGTAGTTTCTCTGGCAACAAGAGCTTTCTGCATATGCTTTCATGTACCTCTCTGAAATTGCAGGCTTCCATCACTGATGCAATGTTGCATGCACACTCGCACCAAAATTCCGAGCGCACAAAATTGTGGTGCTTACCACAATCAGTGCATTTAAAATCTCGGCGAAAATGTCGAATGCTGTAGTTAGGATCCCACCGAAACACGCCCTGAAAAAGCTAATTTGTAAATGTCTGAAATCATCTGGATATTGTCGATGCTAATTATAATTTCCGTCGCTTGTATCCAGTGCCACCACCGTCCAAACAATGCCCACAACTGGTCCTTCAGAAGAGTCCAAGCTTCACACCTGATGTCTTCTGCCTAACGGCAGTGGCTACTGCTATCGCCGAAAGTACGACTTCCTGAATTTGCCATTGCCATTTGGTCTGACGCAAAGGGCGGCGGTCCATTATGGCCGTTATCCCCGGAGATAGCGGGGTAAAATCACCCTCAAACGGGTAGCTGAGCCATGTCGACATGCTACCGCCATGTCGACCTCTCCATTGGTTTCATCAATTGACATTCGCATTAAGTCGGCACTTGTGATTGGCCCAGTATCTGACGTCGGAAAGCGCAAACACTGTTGGAGGCCTTGGTTCATTGGGGTGACTGGGGAGAATAGAGTGGCTACAGAAGCTCTTGTTCGCATCGAGTACAGCAGCATGCCCTTCAAACTAAATGCAAATCACTTTTCATTTAGTCCAGATGGTACTTAATACTTTGCAATCATTCCAGATTTATGCTCACCGGCGCGGCTGGGGACAAGGGATAAAGCTCCTAGGCAGGGTAGTGCAGACGCCAGAAGTTGTGAACATGCATGTTCGTCAAATCCGAGGATATTTGTGGGACAGTACAGGGCGTCGATTGCTGGCAGCGGTGTTCAGCGTCGCCAAAATGAGCAAACACCATCATCGTCTCCAACCGTCCTTCAACGACACCACAGACCAACGAATCGTCCATTTTCCAATTAGCCCAGCCGCAGTGCTCACACAATGGCACAATCTGCTCTACTTTGCGTTCCCACTGCCTTCCACCAATCGTTATTTCGAAGTTTCCATCAACAATTGCAGCACAACAACCTAATTTCCTTATGTCAATCGTTGAACGCATCTACAACGAACAATACAGAATACTGCGCTTCTGACCATCAAAATTGTCACCCTAGCCTCTTCGATTTCGCAATTTCGAGTCATTCTTTTCTACTATCGCCTTAGCTAAGGATGTCCTGCAAATTTTTGATGGCACTGCCAACCTGATCCCGAACTTCTAAAAAATCTGTATCCACCTTACACCACTTTACACCACCTTACACCTACTCTCCACCTTCGTGCTTGTTGACGGGCATCGATGAGAGCTCCACAATCTGTCATTGCGGTCGTTCTATGCCAAGAATCAATATTGTCCCAGAGATGCCCTGGGGGCCCACCAGTGACGGGGGCTTTTCTGAGCAATTGCGCATACCATACCTTGCCGCAACAGGCTCACTGAAACGGCAATGAACGGCTCATTAGCTGTGCAGAGGAAGTGCAGGCACTGCGTACACTCACTTTGACGATATCCACCACTTCCACTACAAAAATGTGAGACACACTGGATATAGTCAATCCGTAGAAATGCACGCACTCATTGCCCAATTCCATCAGCTACCCTTGTCCATATGGCTCAGCTACTACATACCAGCATATAATAGCCTTCGACCAATCACTTTCCTTCCTGCTTTGCTTCAATCTACATAGGCAATACTGACAAAGTACTCGTTGGCTGCTTGTACATTCAGTACCAGCACAGCAACGCCTGCATGTCCACGTGCATGTAGCAATTACTGGCCAGTAAATGTTTTACTTGTAAGAAGCACTTGATCGTTCAATCAAATTCTTATCAGTGCTGTCGACGAGTGATGCGAACGGCAGTCAGCCGCTGTGATGATTTCAAACTCCGTTCAATCTTGTTTGTCACCTTGTGGCACCCACCCAGCTCAAGGTGACACAGATGCTTCAAAGATGCAAGTTGCTTCACACCCTCATCTGTGATACCCTGGCACCCTTGCAGATCCAAAACTGTGAGCCTTGTCAGCCCCTTTGCAATGGAATGCATACAATCATCTGTCAGTCTTCCACACCAGCACAACTCCAATTTGGTGAGTGATGGGATTGATGCCAATCTCGCAACACCAAAATCAGTTACTTCGAAGCACCATCCGAAGCACATTATCTTCACCTTGGCAAGCCCTGTGATGTAGCTTAATCCCCTGTCTGTGATCCTACCACAGCCATCCATGTTTATCTCTGTCAGCATGGACAGTTTGGTAAGGCACTTCAGCCCCATATCAGTGATCAATGGGCAAACCCGTAGGTGCAGAATAGTGATCGTGGTGAGAGCTGCAATGGCTTGGACCGCATCATCACCAATTTGGCGGCACCTTGAAACGCTCAGGTGGGTGATGCCTGTTGCTGCCACCAGATGTTTTATGAACTTGCTTGTCACCTGCTCGCATTGCCCCAGCCTGATCAATGACAGCTCAGGCATGCTTTCCAAGAAGCTAAGGCCGCTATCTGTGACTTGACTGCTGCCATTCAAATCCAGTCCAGACATCTTGGTGAGGGCAGAAAGAACAGAGTATCCGCTGTCGGATATACTTGAGGGCAGAGAAAGCATGGTCAACTGATCCAATTTCCTCAGATACATGACACCCTCATCTGTGATCGCTCTGCAGCCACATATGTTGAGCCCAGTGAGTTTCGTCATCTCCCCAAGGATCCTTGCCCCTTCATTTGAAATGCGGCAGCAAC